GTGATTTCTCACTTTCTGTTTCTCTGTCTCTCCAGTGAGCACATGAGCCCTACAGCAAAAATCTCACACACACACCCCAAAAAAAAAGAAGAAAGAGAGGGAGAAAGGGATTCTAGTTACCTTTCCACATGGTAGTTTATGCTTTAATCATGCCAAATAACGATGTATCTATAAAAAAACCTAAAAAGATGAGGTTTGGAGAGTTTCTGAACAGCTAAACACATGGGGGCTTACAGGAAGTTGAACGAGATTCATTCTCATGCCAGGAGCACTCCAAATGTGTGAGAGCAGAGATCGTGCACTCTGGACCCTGCTAGACCTTGCCTGGCTATCTCCCTCTCTCTTTTTTTTTTTTTTTTTTTGGGAGAAGTTTTTGCCATAGGGCGCGTGCGCTCACCAGACAGACAGAGAGACAAAAAGTGAGAAATAACCCCCCCCAGGGGGTTGACCACATTGCAGTCCCTTATCCTCCATTCTCCTCTCGGGATCTTGGGCATGCACGCACATGCGCCCGGCTTGAGTTTAAGCCACCGGATCCGGGACTCAATCCACGGTCGACTACATGGGAGTCCAGCGACATAGCCATTATGCTAACTGCTGGTCCTGCCTGGCTATCTCTTTAACTGGCTGCTTGTTACCTTTTAAATATCCTTTACTTTAAACCCATAAATGTGTTTCCCTGAGCTCTGTGAACCATTCTAGCAAATTAACTAAGCTTAGAGAGGGATTAGTGAGAACCCTAACGTTTTTTTAAAAGATTTTTTTTTAACTTTTTTACTTAACTTTAATTTGATCAGAGAGAGAGAGCGCGCAAGCCACCAAGTCCAGGACTCAAACTGTGGTCAGCTATGTGGGAGTCCAGCACCCTTAACCACACACTACCTGCAGGTCCCAGGAACCCCAACTTGTGAGTGGTAGGTCATAATTTCCAGAGGCCCAGACTTGAGACTAGCGTCTTACATGGATGCAGTCTTACAGAACTAAGCCCTTGGCCAGTTGAGAGATGATGCTACCTCCAGGGATAAGATGTCAAAATTGGGACCAGCAGTTAGCATAATGGTTATGGTGCTGGACTACCATGTAGTCGACCATGGATTGAGTTCCAGGTCTGGTGGCTTAAAACTCACGCTGGGTGTGTGTGTGTGCGTGCCCAAGATCCCAAGAGGAGAATGGAGGAGAAGGGATTGTGGCGTGGCCATCCCCCCGGGGAGTGATTTCTCATTTTCTGTCTCTCTGTCTCTGGCGAGCACATGCATCCTATGTCAAAAACATTTCCAAAAAAAAGATGTCAAAACTGAATGTGATTAGAGAAGACCCAGCTGGTGTCTGCAGAAGGGCTCGCCTGCTTGCTGGTTGGGAGAAATCCACACACATTTTGTGACTGTAGAAGTGACCTTTATCGTGTGCTCACAGTAAGAAAACCTGAGTTTTTGTTTTTCTAATGCAGTAACAACTGTCATGTTACTCTTTATCCAATACATGGCAACACAGGAGAAATGAGACAAAACCACCTCCCACCCATCAAGGTAAGAGGCAAAAACTTAAATTTTAAAACTCAGTTAACCGTTTAAACTTAGTCAAATCTATAACAGGAATAAAAGATATAATACATGTAAAAATAACTGTAACACAAGAAATAACATGAAGCACCATAAGATTCAGAAAGTACAGAAGAGATGACTTTCAGTCTTGGAAGAGGAGACCAAGAGCAACTGAATGGTGGTGGTCAGTGGACCTTACAGATAAGGTCGATCTTGGAGATGAAGAAGAGATTTTGTAATAGCAGCATGAGCAAAGAAACAGAGGTAGGAAATAGGGAGTGTAAAAATGAAGAATAAGAACCTTATGCCATGGGACCAGCAGCTGCCGTAATGGCTATGTCACTGGACTCCCATGCAGTCAGCTGCGGTTCAAGTCCTGGACCCTGTGGCTTAAAGCCCTGGACATACGCTGGGCATGTGTGCTTGCATACCCAAGATCCCAAGAGGAGAATAGAGGAGAAGGGACTGCGGGGTGGCCAGCCATCCCCCTTGGGGGGTGATTTCTCACTTTCTTTCTTTCTGGTGAGTGCACGCACCTTATAGCAAAACCTCTCAAAAAAAAAAAAAAAAAAAAAAGAATCTTATGCCATGAAATTAGATGCAAAGCTAAAACTGGTAAATTACATAGGCAGAACATTGAATTTTATATGATGGGAAATGAAAAATCCACAGATAACTTTTAACCAGAAGAATGTAGGATAACTTATGAATGGGCAAATGGGAACCTAATTGGCTTTCAGAATCAAGACTCTAAGTGAAGAGAATTCATTCAGAGTCTTTGGAACGCCAGGCCAGAGCAGCAGGAGGGCCTTCCCCAGACACAATCCCAGGCTTTGTGTCCAAGATTGATATTCATGGCTCTACTTACTGGATACTAGCCATGTCATTTGGTAGGGCAACTTATTTGAAATAATGAAGTAAAGAAAAGTTACCTGCACGACAAGGGAAAATGTTTTATAAACACTAAAGGAAGACACAAAGTACAATGGAAACTAAAATGAATGATATGTCAGAGTTGTTACCACAGTTTTAAATGATTAGAATTAGAAACACACAATTAGCAAAGTTAAATAATGTTATTCTGAATTCTATCTAAATTTCTGACATGAAGTATTTTTTAATAAGAAAATGTACACTAATGTTCCACAAAGCCAAAGTCTTCTGGGACAGACGTTAATATACAATCTAAAGCAAGTTTAAGAAACTCACATTTACTCAGCTCAGCTCTTCTGTCACCAGGTACAGGAAGACACTGTTGTACGAACTGTCTAAATATTTATTTTTATATATTAAGAATTAAAATTACCACAAGTTTCTTCTAATTGAATTCCCACATCTAGTTAATATAGTCTGTATACAAGATTCAATATAAAAATGCTACGAATTGTAACCAAAATTAGATGCACAATTCCTTTGTGCAGCTCAAAGGTCAATTTTTAAGTCAAATTAAACATATGAAAACACACGAAGCTAAACTATAAAATCAAAAGAAAACAATAAATAACTCAGTATTTAGTTAAATTAGAAGACTATATGATAATCTACTTTTTTGTTTAAGATTATTTCTTTCTTTCAGTAAATTAATAAGGGTGACAGAGAAAGAATGGATGCCACAATCCTCCCCCAGGTACAGCCAGCCCTAGACCTGGGCAGGTGCACCCAGTGTACTCAGGGAAGACCCCGGACACGGACCTTGCCATGCAGATCAGCCTCCCAGTGTCACATTTTACCACTGCGCCACCAGCCCACGACCTACTTCATTATATCCTCTGCACAAGATTTCTGTGCAGTCTAAGCTTTATTTATTAGAAGTCTCAAACATAATAAGCTGATTTTCTGTCACCCTAAAACACCACACTTCCTTAACTAAACTTCATACCTGCCTTGATGAATTAATGACATACCAATATGACTGAAAAGTAAACCAAAAAAGGAGACACTTCTCCATACAATTTACTTCAGAATTATTTACATGAGACTAAGCTTACCTTCTCCATGGTCATTTCCTCTTATATACAATTTACTTAAGTGACACTGAAGAAACCATTTCTAAGTCGAGCTGCTAAAAACAGAAACCTCTTTACAAACACCCCATGTAGAAGGCACGCAAGGCCACACCGTTCCTACAGGTGGGGTGAGGTGGGTCAAAGTACAAAATATTTTACATACCATTCCCAGAGCATACATGGAGATGCACACCCTGTATCAGACTGACATGGGCCTTGGAATCTCACCAGTAAAGCTTACCAAAGCTTTACAGCAGACCAGAATAAATTAGGGCATGAGTATTTCAAGGAACCTCAGCTCTTTCTGCTACCAAAAAGTTACAAGCAATATGCATATGGCAAGTTAACCTTTGTACATATTGATAATGCTTCTTATATAGTACAAGAGATCTTAAGAAATAAGACAATATAAGGAAATCAACACATTCAAGAATGTTCCCTATGCCAAAAGAAGCATTACATTTCCCAGCACCAAAATACTTTCTTAACCAGCTAGTTGGGCACTCTTGTTCCCTATCACGTATTTTGTAGTATGTTACTGACTCCTGTTTTTAAACAGTAGAAATCTTAACTTAGTACTCACTTACTAGTATTGGAACAATAACATAAAGGTTCCTTTTGAATGAAATTAAAAGTAACAAATCAATAAGAACCATAGAAATGAAAAACAGATATGGATTTCTAGATATTAAGAATTATGTTGGTTACTGCTGAAATTTGATGTTTAAAACATCATAATTGTACAACTGGATTTTTTGAAAGTTGGGTTTTTTTAAACTTCCATTAATTGACTATTTAAACATTTACAAGTTCCATTAATATACATGTGTTTTTTTAAAAAAAGCAACTTTAAATACACATATTCAACTACAATTTAGGTCCCAAGGAAAATGTTTACACAGAAATTTGGCAGTGTTACATCTGTGGACTCAATGCCAGCAACAACCTGTGAAGGCTAAAAACCTGATTAATAAGCAAATTTTCATCCTGCAACTAACATTGTATAAATAATCCAAAGCAGTTAACATTTATAGGATAATCACTGAATTTTGCCTATGTGATTACTTTCAAAGCAGTTTTAAGAAAACTTGATGAATCTCTATTCCTATCCACTAATAGTCTACAGACCTTACCTTAGCTATAATATGAGGGGAGGGGGAATTATTTCCTAAATACCATGACCTAAAGGAGGGAAATATTTTAAATCCTCCTCTCTGCAGGCAAGAGGACAGGAGATACAAGGTAGAAACCTGTGGAGACGGAGGAACATCAGTTTCACCAGGTTCCAATTTAACTGAAATACCAAATGGGAATTTAAAAACTTGTCAAAGGGCTTACTTGGACTGAGGGCTTACTTGAGACTACATTTTCTAGGTCTGCAGATACCCTCTATAGTAAGTACGCCTTTGAGAGCCCTCCTTAGCAAAGAAAACAAGCATAAACTCAGACTTACCTACCCACGCAATCCAGGCAAAACTCCTCTGAGCTACCCTTCAGGCCACACTGAGAAGACATTCCTCTCAGCTCACCTCTGTGCCAGGTGACCTTTGGCATCCACAGAAAGACAGAAAGGGTGGGGCTCTAGGCTTCACTTTTGGCATTGTACTACACTGAATACAGTTTCTCTCTTAGCTTCTCTAGGGCGTTAACTAAGACTTCCTCTTCTTATTAAGTAAGTAAACAGCTACTACTAGGCTTCCAACTCTTGCCTAAGGTGGTTTAAAAAAAAAAAAGTTGTAAATAGTGCAAATAATAATGGCGAGCATTGATTGTAAACTTACTATGTACTCTGAATTATATGGTTAGACACCATTACTCTCATTTTAAAGAGGTAGAATCTAAGGAATAGTGACTAAGAAGTAAATTAGGAGAATTACATGCATACGGTGACAAAAAAGAGGTCTTGGGCACAAGAAGTAAGTCAGTACTGAGGTCTTTATAAAACCAGAGCCATTACAAGGGCTAAAATCAGTTAAAAAGGGGAAGGGACAACCAACAGGTAGCATAATGGTTGGGGCACTGGACACCCTCATGGCTGACCATGGTTCGAGTCCCAGCCCTGGAAGCTTTAAAATCACAATGGACATGTGGGTGTGCATGGCCAAAATTTCGAGAGGAGAATGGAGGAGAGGGAACTGAGGCATAGCCATCCCCATCCCCGCAACCCTGGAGAGTGATGTCTCCTGTCTCTCTTAGGCAGCTGCACATGTCCTATGGCAAAACAAAACAAACAAACAAACAAACAAAAAGACTTAAAAAAAGGCAAAAAGTGTGTGCAGAGGGGTGTGATTCACTCATTGTCCTATTGTCCTAGTATGACTTCAAAGAAGCTTGTCTCTGAGACTCTGGGTTGAAAGAGCAGGAAAAAATGCTACCACCAGAAATTATAAGCTGACGCTTGTGACGAAACAGTTTTGAAGTCTGGATTTTATGTATATGAGAATCTCCAAAATAAGAAATTAAGAATCCCTAATTAAGAAATAGGTCCTGGACCCAGTGATACTCCTGGAGTATCTGGAAGAAATAAACAGAAAGCCATTTTAAAGTAATAACAAGGCCAACAGGATTATCTCGGTAGAAAAATTAAAACGAAATATAAACAAACAAAAAATCCCCACTCAAGGTGAGCTTGCAATTTAGAAATTACAAAATATGTGAGAAAATTATTTATCATGATTGAACATTAACAGAAACACCAAACAGACAAATTAGTATTCAACTAATTTTTCAATATGAAAATCCCTCAAAAAGGCATATTTGAATAACTAAAGAAATGGAGTAAGACAAAAGAGACTATGAAGGATAGAAAGCTTTTTTAAAAAATCAATAGGCTTTACAAAAACAAAATGGAATGTATTCACCAAAAACTTGCTCATTTCTCCACATACAGTACCCAGAGTTTTAATCAGGTAACTTTAGAAGGGAATAGCATGACCATACTTAGGATTTTAAAGCCTTTTTAGAAAACCACTCTCAATACTAGAATTAAACTGTCTGGCAGAACTCATTCCATACTAACTTCTGTTCTCTACCATCTCTCAAGCTCCTGACCACTCATCCCTACAACTGCTTACTCTTGGCAATTCTTTTTTTCTAAGAGATTTTTTCCTTAGGATGCATCCACTTGCCAGAGACACAGAGGGATAGAGACAGTGAGAGGGGAAGTGAGAAATCACTCACCAGGGGAAACAACCACCTCATAATCCCTGTCTCCTCCATTTTCCTCTCAGGATTTAGAGCACACATGCCCACCATGATTTTCTAGCTACCAGGTCCAGGACTCAAACCATGGTTGGCCATGTGGGAGTCCAGCATCTTAACCACCACGCTACCTGCTGGCCCCTTGATTATGGATTTTAAATGTCTTTCTCAATCTAAGAATCACTGTACAGTTCGATTAACACATGCTCTTATGATGAATTTCAATAAAAAGCCAACAACTTTCAGTTCATCAGTCAGGAAGGATGTTATTGAGGGATGGTAACTACCCTAGCTCCCAGTGCTTTGACAAAATCTCAGATGTGTGCCCTGGCTAGGTGTCTGCGATTTCATATTGTTGGAGCATTGGCTGTATTTCTGAGTGTTACAGCTGTCTATAAGTCTGCTATGGCTAAACCAAGGAAAAAAATATGAAAATCTCTACAGAAATTATGATTCCATAAAAGATTTTGAGATGAAGAAGGCTGATATCTTTCATAGTACAAAGTGATTTTGGAAATGCAAAGAATGACACTGGTTTGACTTCCATGTTCCTGAATGATGAAACATGAATACCATGGGCTAACAAATAGTTTATCTTGATATATAAATGAATACTGTAGACAGTTTAAAAAAAATTTTTTTAAAGCCAACAGCTTTTGAAGCCAGCATGTGGCACAATGGTTGAGAGCACTGGATTCCCACATGGCCAACTGTAGTTCAAGTCCTGAACCTGGCAGCTTGCTTTCTTCCCTTCCCTCTCTCTCTCACTCTGTCTCTCTCTGGTCAAATTAAATAAAAAGAAAGAAAGAAAGAAAGAAAGAAAGAAAGAAAGAAAGAAAGAAAGAAAGAAAGTTAAATAATTCTTTCTTTAAAATAATTATTTATTTACTCAATTCCATTTGTTATTATTATTTATTTAATTTGACCAGAGAGAGAGAGAGAAAGCAAGAAAGCAAGCCTCCAGGTGCAGGACTCGAACCATAGTTGGCCATGTGTGAATCCAGCAACTTTAGCCACCATGCCGCCTGCTAGTCCCATAAAATAATTCTTTAAAAAAAAAAAAAAAAGCCAGCAGCTTTTAAAAATACTGAAAACCAAAGAAGAAAGTGATTTCTTATTTCCATTCATGTGCTATAACTAAAGTTCTCTGACTAGCAAACCAAAAGCTTGTGTTTACACACTAGTCTGGCACTTAGCAGCTCTGTATGCCTGCCTACGAAACTGAACCTTTCCCAGCCCCCACTTCTTCACCTGTAAAATGAGACAGAGACTCACTGGTAAGGCGTTTATTCAGATCTCGAATAGTTTCTTAAATCAAATTTAAAAGGAGAAAATTGACTTCAGTGTTAGCAGTTTCACTATATACAAGTAGATGATAAACTTTTAATAAAATGAAATTATCAAACAGTAAGAAATCCTAATAATAAATGATGAAAAAATACTGTTCACAGTGAGGACATTTGTAAATGCACCTCAGGAATTAGTAAAAAAAAAAAATAAACAGTTTTTATAGAACTCTCCATTTCTGCTGAAAAATTCCCATTTAAATACAGACTGCTAGAACACAATAGGTATAAAGAATTTCTGAGAGGCAGGAAAAACGAATGCTTATGGTATGAAGTGTCAATATTGCCATTACTAAGATTTCACTTAAACCTTCGTCGCACCTGACTCAGATGCTACTGGCATTCTGTGTGTTTGGCTTGGTGAATGCATGTCTAAGGGACTGACAGAATATTCCTTGTAAAACAGCATTTTAAAACTTATAAAGTCCTCAAAACCTGTTCTTTCCCCTAAAAATAAAAATAATAAAAAATAGGATTACCTCAGCTTGTAAAAGTCATGAGTGCTTCTGGTTCATTTAGAAAGAAAAAGGTGGGCGAGGCAGAGACATGGTGGTTAAGTCGGCTGTTTCCCACATGGCTGACTGTGCAGTTTGAGACACAGACCCTGTGGTCTGAAAAACATACTGGACACAAGTGCATGTGTGGCCAAAACCCTACGAGGAGAAGGGACTGCGGCATGGTCATCCCCCTGCGGGGTGCTTTCTCATTCTTTCTCTGGCAAGCACACACACCCTGTAGCTAATTAAGAAAGAAAGAAGGGACCAGCAGATAGTGTAATAGTTACATCATTGAACTCCCGCGTGGCTGACTACGGTTCAAGTCCTGAACCCAGCTGCTTAAAACAACTCCAGGCATCTTTGCGTGTGTGGCCAAGATCCTGAGAGGAGAAGGGATTGTGGCATGGCTATTCCCCTTGAGGGTGGGGGTGTTTTCTCGTTTTCTGTCTCTCTGCCTCTCCTGCAGGCACATGCACCCTACGGCAAACATCTCTCTTAAAACAAAAAAAAAGGAGGATCAGGACTACTGAAGACCCTCTGCCCAGACTTCACATTCCTGCCCCCTAGACCTTGCCAAAGAGCCAGAGAATACAAGGGATCTCATGGAAATGTCAGATAAAGAATTTAAAATAGTCATAGTGACAAAGCTAACAGAGAGGCAAGAGAAGAGAGACAACAAACTCCAGAAGGTCCAGAAGAGAGATGAGCTCCAGGAGGTGAGGGAGTTCCTGCACAATCTGAAAGAGGAAATGCACACCATAAGAAAGAATCAAACTGTTAAAGATAAAGGCTGTAATACAGGAAATCAAAGCCTTCCTTAAAAATATCCAAAGCAGGGACCAGCAGTTAGCGTAATGGCTATGTCGCTGGACTCCCACGTAGTCGACCGCGGTTCGAGTCCCGGACCCGGTGGTTTAAACTCACGCCGGGCACGTGTGCGTGCGTGCCCAAGATCCCGAGAGGAGAATGGAGGAGAAGGGATTGCGGCGTGGCCATCCCCCCTGGGGGGTGATTTCCTGCTTTCTGTCTCTCTGTCTCTCTCTGTCTGTCTGGCAAGCGCACACGCCCTATAGCAAAAACCTCTCCCCCCCCCATAAAAAAATATCCAAAGCAGATTAGATCATGCAGAAAATCAAATCATAGGTGTCAAAGATAGACCCTCTGATCTAGAAAAATTCACCAAAAATACTGAGAAAATAACACCCCAAAATGAAAATAATATGCAAGTAATGCTAGATACCATTAAATGCACAGACGCTTGGATCATTGGTATCCCAGAAGGTGAAGAAACTAATAAAGGCATTGATAATCTGTTCCATGAAATCCTGGAAGAAAAATACTCAAATCCAGAGAGGCACTCAAATATCCAGACCCCAGAAATACAAAGGACCCCACACAGATTCAACCCAAGAAGATTTTCCTCAAGGCACATCATAGCCAGACTGACCAAAACCACAGACAGAGACCAGATATTAAAATTGGTAAGAGAGAACC